AACATAAAGGGAAGCATATTATGCTTCAGTTAGGAAACTTCCTGTTAAAGTTATTGTCATGCTTTAAAAAACTTTACACTGCTGATAGTTTTTACTTAATTCTAAGATTTTTATGTTGAGTTTTACTTTTTTCATTAAGGTGTTTTAATTGTTTAATCTATAAGGATTTGAGAAGTTCTTCCACTAAAGGTGAACTAATTGGGGAGACAAGCACCGCACTGTGGTCAACGTTCAAATCCAATTATATGCAATGTTACACCATCTTTGACCTCACCACATCAGTCACAGACCAAACCAGTAACAGGTCAATTAAACATGTTCATGAACATATTTTCAAAAACACACAAATGCATTGTGAAGATGATTTAAAAAAATATCTGTGCACACGCAGCTTTTACCTTCTCTTCTCCTTATCGGCCGTCATCGTGTCCAACAACAGGTGCCTCTATCCAGTGTCATCGTGAACGTTGGCTCAGGAGAAAAAAAGATGGTGGCAGCAGGACTTCACAGCACGGCAGGGAACCTCCCCACTCCAGTTTGCACCATCACAGGCAGTGTAATTAATCAGAGAGGCAATTAGTAGCGCCAAATGTCACAAGGCAAGTGGTCCCCCGCAGCAAAGATGACTTAATCCTACTCAGCAAGTGTCTCCTCTCCCTCCTCTGCATGTGCATCACCCAAAGGCCTCCAGAATCGAGCTCACTGATAGGTCAGCTGGCCAGGAAAAGCATCATCCTCCCCCACCACTTCCTCCACGCCACCCTTTCCTCTCTTCTTCTTTTCTTGCACAAACTTTCAAGCATCCCACAGACGACAGAGGATGGATAAAAATGAAAAAAATACAACAAGAAGGCAGGAAGAGAAGACACAGAGAGGTGTGAGGGTGATGTAGACAGCTCAGTGTTTTATTGGAATCAGACCAGACAGGACTAGCCTGGCTGTTGCACTACATTTTGGCACAGAGTAAGATAGAAGTGTGACCAGGAACAGCCCTACCCCTGGGTGCACGAAGCTTCACTACACACCGACTCTACTGCACACAGAGCAAATCCGCCTGCCTTTAGCCCAATGTACAGTACATGCCACTACAGTCCTTCTCTGTGTGCGCATGTGTGTTTGTGTTTGTAAGAAAGAGAGTGAGAAGAAGAGGGAGGAGGCAAAAGAGGGAGTCTGCATGTGGTGACTTGTGTCTTTGCGTGTTTGAAATGAGAGATAATTCAGCTGCTGGTTCTCCACATTTCTTTTTCACCCGGCTGTAACAGACTTATAATAGTATAGTTATAGTATTATACACAAATGTTTCCTCCAGATACACTTTACAATAATAATAATAATAATAATAAATATAAAAGAGAGAGAGAGAGAGAGAGAGAGTGATAAGAAAGAAAAGCCATTCTTGAAAAAGCAAAAGTCCGAAAAGCATGTGGTTTAGGTTTGAGTGACAGCTGCTAGAGGTGGGAAAGAGGAATTGGTGCTTCTGAGGAGACGTGGAAGGAAAGTGGGGGGGCTGAAAACACTGATTGTAACTATAGAAACAGAAATGCTGAAGACAAAAAGTCATACATCGACAAAGAAAAAAAAAATCCACGCATTCACCCACAAAAAAATTTACATTCACGAGAAAATAATAATAAAAACTGCCCACAGGCCAGCACATTCTCGCCGGCAGGAGGGGAGGTGGACTCTGAAACTAGCAGATGCATGAAACAGCTGAAAAAAACGAGGCTTTTTCACTGCTACACAGGCCACCTGTAACACTCTGCTCCACATAATTAGTTCAATAGCCTGTAACTCGTAAAGTTCGACATTCACTTTGTACACACAAGAGAGGATGAGAGCGATCGATCATACAACAAATCCGACAACAACAAAAAAAGAACATTTCAAGGAAAATAAAACAAAAAATAACACATGATCAAACAAAACCATAAAATATATAGATAGTCAGGGTATTGCACAAAGGGTATTTGGCCCTAACCGGTCCACATTAAGGACAATAATAACACAGGTAGGGTGCTTGTCCATGCGCCACAACTCTCCTTTACTAGCAGACGATACCAACACGATACAGCCACTCGACACAGGCTATATACAGGCCTCTGCACCCGGCACCTACAGTCCACATTTATACAGGTGCTGGGGAGAGAAGCAGTGTCATTGTGTGTAGATTAGTGTGTGTGTGTGTGTGTGTGTATGTGTGTGTGTGTGTGTTTGGTTGGTTGTCGAAGCTTATGCAGTGAGTCTGCAGGTATGTGCGAGCGTGTGTAAAAACCTGGGATTGTAGTGTTTATGTGTGATTATGTGCTAAACGTGTGCACGAGGGAATGTGTGTGAGAGCATGTGCAGGTGTGTGTGTGTAGTCATATTCATAATAAACCCAGGCAACAAGGACAACACAATGCAAGTGAAGAATATTCCAAAAGTAACAACAACCAATAGCTTTAAAATAAAGGAGTGGTCGCACGTGTTTGTGTGTTTTGTAAAGGGATCTGTGGATCAGTGTGCGCCTGTTTGCATGCATGTGTGTCTGTGTGTCTGTGTGTGTGTGTCTGTGTGTGTGTGTGTGTGTGTGTGTGTGTGTGTGTGTGTGTGTGTGTGTGTGTTAGGTCTGCGTCTCCTCTGGGGCGCAGTAGGAGAAGTCCTTGAACTCCTCCTGGTTAATCTGTCGGATGATGGCCTCGTCCGTGGGTGTCAACACAGGGTCTTCCTTTGTGAAGTCCTGGTCGAAGTTATTCACATCTCGCTTGGTCTTCTGCAGACACACACGCACAAAGACAAAAAGGACGTCAGAGGAAGAAACGTCACTATAATCTAGTGCTATAAGAGTAATATTATAGCGACACCTTCTGGCCATTGAGACTTACTGCTTGTTTGTATGTGATGTGCATACAGTCAGTTCAGTGTGTGGTTAGTGAATACAGATTCTACAGCGGTGGTTCCAAACTAATCTAATATGTCGCAAGAGTTTCCTTTGGGCTCATATGATGATAAAAACTTTTTAATCATTGTATTTTTATACATTAGCTTATTTTGCTAAGCTTAACCATTGCATTTTCTGATTCAATTCTGGATTGTTTGAGCTCTTGGGTTTCAGCTGGGTGTCTTTTGAAACTTTCCAGCATTATACCAGTTATAAGTTTTAAGGCACATATCACGCTTTCTTTTTCTACTAAATTTAATAACACAAGCAAATCTGTTGTACTTTGCATAAACAAAATACAAAGTACGAACACAAACAATTTGATTTATCACTGTTTGTTTCTGAGAACCTTATTTTACAGTGAAGTGCAGAGCAAAATTATCTTTTAGCAGGAAACAACAACTGGAGTTTTCAGCAGGCTGCTCTATTTTTTTTAAAGTAAAACAAAATCTGTTAGAACCAAAAACAAATGCAGGGAACAATCATGCATATGGGAACTAAATTAAGACATTGAGTCACAGCAGATGTTCACAGTTACTATATTCTTTGAATGAATATAAGACGTCCGTCCGTGCGTGCATGCGTGTGCGTGCGTGAGTAATAATATGTGTTTCTTACGATTCTGGGTTTGAAGGGCGGTTTGACTTTTCTCTGCTCCAGCAGCAGCCAGTCGATCTCTCTGAAGAAGGGGTGGGTCTTGATGGCCTCCTCGCAGCCCTGGCTCACAACACAGCCCAGACGCTTGGCTGGGTTCTTTGTCATGAACTACACAAAAACACACAACACACACTGTTGACTCTGAGATTTTCTGCCCCTTTAAAAAGGGAGGATTCCAGCTGATGTTTCATGCATAACACGAGGACAGAAACAGAAGGATAACGGTTGAGCAAAAAGCATTTCGGTGCTAATAATAGAGCGGAGGCATTAATGGCTCTGTGAATGCTATAAACAAAGAGGTGTAGTGGCAGAGTGATGAAACAGGTCAGCAGAGGGCTGCTGTTATTTAAAGCCACTGAAAGCTGCGTCGCAGTCGTTCTGCTGTCTGTTTACCACCGTGAGAGCACTTTGTGATCTGCTGTGGTTTTGTGATAGCATTATAATTTTAACCTCTCTGACTGACTTTTATATTCTTCTCAGTATCACAGAGAAGTGCACGTCTGTGTTACGTGCACTTTGAATGAGTCTGATTTGAGCATGTGTGGGGAGAAACATGAATGACTGTGTGATGACAATGATCTAAAGAATATAATTGTAATCAACAGTTATGATGGAGAAACTTTGCATAGAGATGTTTTGGGTGATGCAAACATCTACTTCATAATGCAGCGTGGTGATATGCAGGTGAAACGCTGTTTAGGTTAAAACCTGGCTGAAAAACATGCTGGTAAAAGATCCAAGTCTACATACAGCTATCATATCATCAGCGTTTAAAATCATAATCTCAATTACACACATTTATCAGTAGCGAACCTTTGCCTCCTGGTTCACTTCCAATCAGCGTAAGCAAGGGGGTGAATAAAACATTTGGTGAAATTTGACCTGTTATATTCGCCTACATTGTGTGACCGTGCCATACCACATGGCAGGCAGATCTATTTGCAACTTAAACAAACTGCCAGTTGGCAATGAAACTCAGCCCAGTTCAAACTTTTTCGAAACTCCTAATCACCACATGAATGATCACTGAAAGACCTCCTCACAGCAGATTTTTATTTTTGTGTGCTTAGTAATGAGAAGTGTCAACAAACTAATATATGAAACTATACTTCAGTTTATTAGTGACTTTAACATTCCCAATGTTAAAAGAGGTGTGTCTGAGTTGGTGGAGAGATGACGCGTACCGCTCGGAGGATGGAGACGGCCTCTTTGCTGAGCCACACAGGGTACAGGACGTCATCGTGGAGAATCGACTCGAACAAGTCGTCTTCATTATCTGCTTCGAACGGAGGCTGTCCGGCCATCATTTCATACATCAGCACGCCCAGGGCCCACCAGTCCACAGACGCTCCGTACTCCAGCTCCTGCAGGATCTGAATTCAATAACATGACACAGTTTAACATGAAGGATGGACGGGATTTGAACACCAACCTCCACCTTAATACAGGCTATAGGACTATCCTTGTCTGTTGCATTTTCACAGGATTCTGACTGACAAGAGATGACTGGTTCCACGTTCCCTTTGAAAACATCATCTGTGACCCCAAAAATCCATATTGGTCAGGCTCTAATTGTTTCTGATGTCTACAGGGTCAATATTCATCTAGCACCAGCAACCGGAAGGCTTAGCTTAGCATGAAGACTGGAAACAGGGACGAACAGCTAACCTGCCTCTTTCTATAACCCATTTATCTTCCTGTCTCTGCTAGTTGCCTAATGGTGACAAAGACCAGCCAAGAAAAAGTTCCTGTAAAACCTGAGACTTGTGTTTATCACATTTTATTTTCTTATAAAGAGACAAAGGAGCTGCTACGTGTTCAGAAAAGAGTTTCGTAGATGTTTGGCTGATTTAAATCTTTGGAGAGAGCATAGCTGGCTCTAAGAGCTTTTGTCAAGTCGAGGAAAATTACTCAAGGGTAGATGACAGGACTATAACTGCTTAGAGACAAAAGATTTTCATAATAAAACCTGAAGTACTTGAGTTTCTTAAATTAGCAACCATCCCCCATCACAGTACAGTTGAGACCATGATATATAAAACCAGCATCTTGACGACTGTCATGATCTGTGGGCTGACTTCAGCTCACCTCAGGTGC